AATGCAAAGGAACAACTGGTTCCAGCAGGAGGAAATGCACTCTTTGAAGCACGAACGGAGTAGTTGCCCATGGAACTGAAGACCCTGATATTTTTCTGAACCATCTTTGAAGTTATATGTATTTTTCCATCAGTTGTTTTGGTTTCTCTACCATGTTTGTTTTCTCCATCAAGTTTTATGATATGAAAAATGTTCGTTTTTTCTTCCATAAATATTAACGTCTTTCTACTTATTCCACTCATGTGTTGGTTGTCATATTCTAGATATTTTTAAAAATAGACTTCGTTGACGAATAAGTCAACAATGATCTTACACATGTATCTATGGCTACTTCATATCACCATTTTAAAACCCAATATAATGTTACTTTTTCTTCCCATGTACACTCTGAGATAAGAGTTCTTGATTACTTTTGATACAGAAAACTGCAGCACTAACACCAGTTAAACCTATTATTTTGTCTTCTTGGTATCATGCATTATTAGTATTATTTTGCTAATAACTTTGGTCTAAGAAACCTCAAAAAAATCTAAAAATTTGGTGACTTTATACAGTCTAAGCTTAGCAGTGAGACAGAGAATTCGTTCAGCTCAACTTCACAATTTCCATCGACTATTGGGTGTCACCGAATAAAGATACATTTACCCCGACCTCAGTCTACTTAATTTCTCTTGATGCAAATTATGTAACTTCGTCTTCTCATATATCTACTTTATTTCTATTTTCATAATTACTAAAATTCTCCCATTTTCTTTTATTCTGCCACATCCAAATGTTAATATATAGGGTTTATTTACTATCTAACCAAATTTGAAAGTGAAATTAAGTATATGGCATTGATTTTGACATAATGAATTATTTCACATTTGTACTTAAAGTGAGCCGGTTATACCCTTTTCATTTGCAGTTACCCTGTAAACATAACATATTACAAATTAATATATGGTCAGGAGTGAAAGAAGAAAGAGACATTCACGTTACACATTTACTAATCACATGCGTATACATTGAGTGTTCTATTCCATATCACCAAAGTAGTATAGGAAAACTAAAACCACACCCATAATTATTAAATACTAAACATTACCCCAATTTCTAAATGCTAAACCATAAAACCAAATATAAGCCATAATCATGTGACTGGATGACATAAAATGAGTAGATAAAATAGAAGACTTTTCAATAAAGAAAGTATTTCATATCATTAAAATAGTATATAACTCTAATCTAACACATAACTTCTAAATACTAAACCCAGACTCAACTTTTAAATACTAAACCCTAAATTGTTACCACTAAATCCAAATCCAAATCACATGCATAAACTCAGAGCTTCATTTTGGCCATTAGATAGAAGAAAAACATACTTAATCCAAAGGCTGAGAATTAAAGTTGAAGGGTTGTTGAGATTGATAATGACGTGAATTTATTACTTGTGTTTGATTTTATCAAAAATAGGGTATACTCTCTAAAACCTTCGCCGAAAGCTGTTTCTTGGAGAAGTTTCGGTAAGATAAAAGCATAAGAATGTTCAGATACATGACTTTTTTGAATGATTCTGATTTATTTGTTGCAGGTTTGTAAAATGGAGGAGCAGTGCATGGTAATGTGCGGCGAGTGGGTTTGTGGTGACTCTGGGAAGTGGGATTTTGTTCTTAACAAAAGGCAGATGGCGAGGCTGGTTCCTCTGTACGAAGGAATGTGTTTGAGAGAACTTCAAGGGAACGTCCTGCGTGAGTTTGGTGTGGAAGAAGATGAATTTTTTGGCTTCGCTTAGCTACTGGCCACCAAGTTTAGAGCTAGCAACCGGAATAAGGACTCCACCGGTAGTACTTACAAGTGATGGAGGGATAAGGTACTTTTTGCAGCATCTGAGAGTAAAAGGAGGTATGAATTTGTTCGTTAGGTTTGAAAGGATTTCTAAGGGGAACAAGAACATTGATGACTCAGGGATGGGGTTTGTCACTTCCTCGACTTTTAAAACGAAGTTTAGTTCCAATGCTAGATCTCGTTCATTGAGTGGTGGTGATGTTACATCAGAGGCGGCGAGAGCAAAAGTTTTAAACTTGGATGATGTTGAGTTTGTACGCGAGGTAGAGAGAGTTGAAGAAGAGATCAAGGAGAAGAGTTCGAACCAAAAAGGAAAAGGAATAGAAAGGAACGATGATGTAAGTGGTGGAAGTTTGGGTGAAGACGATGTAGTGGGTATAGATGCTGAGGTTGACGAGAGAGACATAAGACCTAGAGGTTACGACAGAGAGTTTTGCAGTCCACTACTTAACGGTGACTATGGTGGGTCTAATGTCGTAAATGTTATATATAATGAGGATGAAATTGTGGACGGTTTAACCAAGAAGAAGGGTCCACGCCGTTACACGTGCACGAGTAACGATGCGTTTGACCATTTTGTCGAAGAAGGTGGTTCAAGAAATCCATTGTCTGAGGAGAAACACCCGTGGATGGGTGGGAGCAATGAAAACCCGTGGATAGGTGGGAATACTAACAATCCAAACATAGAGAGGATGACCCTTGTTTTTACGAGGAAGCTAGAAGATGTGGATGATGAAGAGTTTGATATTCCCCCACTATTCGATGATACAAGCTATGCTGCAATAGATATACCAGACATGGATTTAGAAGAAGGAGATGGGAAAATCTATGTGGGGAAGGTCTTTGGTAACAAAGAAGATTGTCAGATCTTTTTGGCAATATACGCTATAAGGAACCAATTTCAGTTCAAACATACAAAGACAAAAATTGATTCTTTTGTTGTGAGTGTGCTGATCACAAATGTGATTGGCGTGTAACAGCTCATGAGATAAGAGGGTGTGGCTATTATGAGATAAGAAAAGCTCAACTCGATCATCGTTGTCCAATAGATTTTAGGATGGGTTATAAGAGTAGAGCAACTTCGCGAGTGATTGCAGCTGTGTACAGAGTCAAGTTTGGGAATCCAGTTAAAGGACCACTACCTTCATAACTGCAGAGGCTATTTCTAGAGGATTTTCGAGTGACAACTTCTTACATGAAGTGATATAGGGCAAAAGAGAAAGTGGTAACAAGCATTCATGGTTCAGAAGAAGATTCTTACCTGAATCTGCCTGAGTATTTACACATGTTGAAGCTTGCATATCCAGGGACAATAGCTGATATTGAGACCGAGGTAGATGATGATGGTGATGAGAGATTCCTTTATTTGTTTCTTGCATTTGGGGCATCAATCAGTGGCTTTAAAAAGCTTCGTCTTGTCCTGGTGATAGATGGAACACATTTAGGAGGAAAATACAAAGGGGTGTTGCTGACGGCTAGTGGGCAGGATGAAAATTTCCAAATTTTTCCTCTAGCTTATGTTATTGTGGATAGCGAGGATGAAGATGCGTGGACGTGGTTCCTGATGAAGGTGGAGAGGTTATTGGGTGATTCTCCCAGGCTTGAAATCATCTCAGATAGGGCCGCTTGTATATCAGCAGCTGTGAAACGTGTCTATTCATCTGCTAATCATGGTTGTTGCATAGTGCATTTGGCAAGGAACGTCAATTCTTAGTACTCTAGCAAAAACTTAGCAAAAATGGTAACTTCAGCCGCAATGACATACCGTCTGCGTGATTTCAGAGATCAGTACGGTAAAATAAAGGTGCAGAGAAGTGAGTGTGAAATTTATCTGAGTAAGATTGGTACTGCTCATTGGTCGAGGTCTAATTTTGCAAGAGATCAGTATAATATTATGACTAGTAATATAGCATATCAGCTTAACAATGCGCTGGTTGAAGGAAGATGCTCACCTATAATGGAGTTGGTGAAATTCATTCGAAGGATGATGACAAGGTGGTTCAGTGCAAGGAGGAAAAAACGGATAGACATAGTGGCATGGTCAGTGTAGAAGTGGACAAGGAGATGACAAAAAATATGGCAACGATGAAGGAGAGCAAAGTAAATTCTGTCTGTGAGTGGAGTGCTGAAATAGTAGGCAAGTTTGGTGGGGAAGACCAGGTTTATCTCGGCCAGAAGCAGTGTGATTGCAAGTATTTTGATAAAGTTAAAATTCCATGTGGGCATGCTATGATTGTTGCTGACAGTTTGGGAGTCCCTTATGAGACATTGGTAGGACACTGGTACAAGACTTCAATATGGAGGGAGACGTATGCTGGGATTATCAGTCTAGAAGAAGATCCTCGTGATGTGTATATCCTTGAAGATGTGAGTAGCATGGTGTTGATGCCACCTTTGACTAAGAGACCACCTGGGTGACGCCGGAGGAACATAATTCTTTCAACTGGTGAATTCCCGGTAATGTTTTTGTTTAGTAAATGATTTATCAAAGTGAGCAAAAAACGTTAATAGGTTGAGAATCATATATTTCAGGTGACTAAGAAGATAAAGCTTGTTCCAAACAAGTGTGGAAGGTGGCGTATTGAAGGACACAACCGTACAAACTGCACAAACCCTTGGAGTTTGGAAGAGAGAGTAAACGGATCAGTTGTGTTTTGGGTATGATTGTAATGGTGGAGAATATTATCGGAGATATGTTTTTCATGGGACGGCAAAACTGGTGTTTGTCCAGTTTCGGGGTATTTTGTGTTGTGGTCAGTTAGAACCTAATTTTATTGTTATGCATAAAACCTAAGTACAGATTATGTATTGATTCAGCTTTGAAGTGAAAGAGAGTCCATTATTTTGGAGTTTATATTTGGAAATTTGTTAAAGAGTTCATTGTTAAATGACTTTCCTATTGGGAAGATGATTTGTGGTGTCGATTTAGACAAGGTTGTTTAGGACTGTAGTATTGTGGTTACAATTGTATGGAACTCCAATTGTATTTGATATTAAGAGGTACCAAAATAAGAATAACAATAGAGATTATCTTCATCAAATTAATAGATAGAGTTGAAGTTAGGGAAAAACATAACATAAATACTGGAGAGCCCAACAATTGATCATGAAACAGAAACAAGTTACATTGCCACATAAAACAAGAGAGAACAGTTGATGTTTGGAAGGAATCATAGAAGCTTCCAATAAATTGAAGACATAGCTCCGAGAACTGCAATAGCTACAGAAAATTTGGTGATAGGCCCATTGGTAGTAAAGATGGAGTTGTTGTGAGAGTTGTGGTTTGCAGCAATGTCTTCCTTCATCTTCTTTGTTTCTTCATTCAACATTGTCGACATCTGCAACAAATTTTCTTTGATTTGCTGAATCATCTCTTCATCCCTAGAGAAGAGCCAAGACCTCTGATACTGAAGCTGGACATTGAAATCTTTCGAAAGTGCTTGGAAGTCGTGAAGTAGTTCCAAACTCTTAGCATCGACAATCCGAACCTCATGTAGGATTGCTTCGTCAATCCATTTAAGCAGATGAACTTCTGATTTGTTCTGAAAACTGAAAAAAATCAAACAGTATATGAGGATAGTGTAGGTGTTGTATTGAGGAATAAAGGGTAGTGAAATATGAAAAAAACCTGGAGAGCGATTTTGCATCTGTAGAATCTACGGTAAGGGTTCTCTTTGGTCTCAGAGACCCAGGTATTGAGGCCTTGGCCACACCAACATTTTAAAGGAACGCTGTAGACGTGTCTCCGCGACCCAGAACGGGAGCTGGAGAGGAGCTGATCATCGGGAATCGGTGTTCCGGTGGAGAGATAACCCTAGTTGAAAAACACCCAAATCGATTTTTTTAAAGATTTATCTATCTGTAGTCGGTTAGGTGTCTTGTATTTATAAACATAACAGGCCGGTTTGGTAGGTTCTTTTGGTTTGGATTGACGGTGATGGTAAACAAATTCAAATTCTGTTCTTTCCTTTTTTTAAAGTATAAATTTTGCATAAATCCGTGACATTTTTTTTGATGAAAATTTTAAATATGTTTTAAATTCGAAAGTATACTTTACAATTTTTTTAAGTTTCCATCTTGATTTTGTAATAACCATTGACATCTGCTTGGCATTAGAAAAGAACCCGCGTTTTCCATCTCCAAGGACGGGCGTTGTGGTCGGTATCACGACCCGATATGTTGCGGGATTAAAAGTTTGTTTGGGATTATTTTATGGAAGGTGTCCCGACACCATCTATGGACGGTTTCCCGTCCATATACGTTGAGGCAATAAAAGTTTGTATACGGTATCCCGTCCAAACCCCTTTTATGGACGGTATCCCGTCCAGACCGCTTCTATGGACGGCATCCCGTCCTAACCCCTTCTATGGCACCTTCGATTTGGTATGCCCGGATGTAGCCCGCATACTTTGTGAGAATATCCATAGCCGGGTGTTGTGGTCAGTATCCCAACCACCTAAGTTGCAGGATAAAAAGTTTGTTCGGGATTAACTTTGTTAGACAGTATCCATAGCCGGGCATTGTGGTCAGTGTCCCAACCACATAGCCGAGCGGTTGTGGTCGGTATCCCAACTACATAAGTTGCGGCATTAAAAGTTTGTTCAGGATTAACTTAGAGAATTGACGGTGTCACGACCTGTTCTATGAACGGTTTCCCTTTCACATACGTTGCGGGATTATCCATAGCCGGGCGTTGTGGTAGGTATCCAAACCACATAAGTTGCGTGATTAAAAGTGTTTTTGGTATTAACTTTGTTGGACAGTTTCCAAAGCTGGGCATTGTTGGACAGTATCCACAGCCAGTTGAAAAGTTTGTTGGACAGTATGCATAGCCGGGCGTTGTGGTCGGTATCCCAACCACATAAGTTGCGGGATTAAAAGTTTTTTTGGGATTAAATTATTGATGGTTTCACGACCCCTTTTATGGAAAGTTTCCCATAGACATACGTTGCGGGAATATCCATAGCCGGGTGTTGTGGTCACGGACTGTCCCAACCACATAAGTTGCGGGCTAAAAAGTTTGTTCGGGATTAACTTTGTTGGACAGTATCCATAGCTGGGCGTTGTGATCGGTATCCCAACCACATAGCCGGGCGGTTGTGGTTGGTATCCCAGCCACATAAGTTCAGTGATTAAAAGTTTGTTCAAGATTAACTTAGTGACGGTGTCACGACCCGTTCTACGGACGGTTTCTCGTCCACATACGTTGCAAGATTATCCATAGCCGGGCGTTGTGGTCTGTATCCAAACCACATAAGTTTTGGGATTAAAAGTTTGTTCGGGATTAACTTATTGACGGTGTCACGACCCGTTCTATGGATGGTTTCCCGTCGACATACATTGCAGGATTATCCATAGCCGGGCGTTGTGGTTGGTATCCCAACCACATAAGTTGCGGGATTAAAAGTTTGTTCGCGATTAACTTATTGACAGTGTCACGGCCCCTTCTATGGTCGGTTGTGGTCGGCTATGGATTAAATTATTGACGGTGTCACGGCCTCTTCTATGGACTGTTTCCGTCCACATAAGTTGCAGGATTATCCATAGCCGGGGTATGTGGTCAGTATCCTGAGCACATAGTTGTGGGATTAAAAGTTTGTTCGGTAAATTGTTTGAGATGGATGTAGATGAAGAGATTTGTAGATGAATAGGCTATACCGAACGAGGTTGCTGACGGTATCCGGACCCGGTTTTGTAGACTATGTCCCGAATCTCTGGTTATATTCCTGAAGAATCTGAATATCGGTTAAGGATAACCAGTCCGAGGTTGGCGACGGTATCTGGACCCGGTGTCTCCAACGGTTTCTGGACACTTAAGGCATATTTTATACTTTACAATTAGAAATGCATCAATCAGATCGGCTTAGAACAATTGACATAAGTGGAAAAATCAAGTGGATAATGCCGTCATAATATTACACAAAAGGGAGTACATAAGTTTAACATATTACAAAAGGGGGATCCACACCCATATTTGAGCACACACGAGTCCAAAGAAAAACAAAAAGCGTCTAAAACGCCACCAAAACATCCGGGTAAGATTGTTTTACATATCAGATAGGTAGGTAAGAAATTAGTTTTTTAGAGAGATCCAAGACGAGAATGTGAAGTATCAAGCCATGGGTGGAGTGTAGTAAGAAGGCATAACGATGGTCTTGTAGATGTAAAGAGCGTACTGCTTCCAAAGTGCATCAACAGTAGTGTCTATGAAGGTGGTCATCTTGGATATCAAATCCCCGTGTGCGTGCATTCCCAAGAACTTAACTGAAACAGGGCCACAATCACCAGATATCTCATTGATGTAGAGGTCTGAGATACGAAATTAGACACCTTCTTAACAAGGTAGGGTAATGCCACAATCATTTTTGTTGGGATGCAAAAGGTTTTAGCCCCCAAAACTGAGTAAGCTCGAAATTAGCCACCTTCTTAATAAGGTAGGGTAATGCCTTGAAGACATGAGCCATGAAACGAGCAACAGTAGTGTCTTTGTAGAAGGTTGGCAGTGGGTCTAATACTTCAACACAATCCAAATCAAAATTTATCGCTAAACCAACCCTATGTTTGTTGCCCCATAACATGGGTGTATAGACAGTGACTACATCTTCCATCCATTTCCTGTCCGGTCGGAGAATGAGTTCAGTGAGCTGGTCGCCCCAATCGAAACTTTCTTTCCTCCTTGAAGCGGTGAACTTTTTGGATATGTCCTTGATTCCAAATTCAAGAGAAGGTGGAGTGAAGGAAAGTTTCTGATCTTGGAGAAGACGACTATGCCTACCAGCTAGCATGTACATGAAAATTTCGATGTGCTGGACAGATATTGATATTAGTATGCAAAAGAAGTTAAAAATAAGAAAACAAAATCAGGCTTTGGAGTGGGGGGACATACATAAGCTGATGTCCAGTGCTTAGGCTATGCTAGTTGAGAAGGAAGTTGTTGGTAAACTCGAACTCAGAAGGTGTTATGTGGAACCTGTTGTCAAAAACATTCCAAAGGTTTTACACAAATATAAACTCTGACTTAAACAATCTACAAAAAATAAGCCATATGTGGACTTACACATACTTCTTGTGGGAAATGAACCTTTCAAAAAGATCCCAATCAATTTGAGGCAGTGTGTTGATTACGTCAACAACTTGGATGGATTTACATCTCATAAGATGTTTTGCAAGTTGGTTTTCATCACACGTTGGTTGATGCATGGGCCTTGGTCTGCCAGGGGAGCCCTCACTCAGTTCCACGATGTCAATGTCTTCAGATTGTTCCTCCTAGTGGGAAAACACAAGCATCAAGTTTTATCAATAATTTGGAAAATAAGATGGCATCCATACATATAGAAAACCTGGGGCGGTTGATATCATACATGTTGGGGACGTCAAATTTGGAACCAGTTAGAGGATTAGAGGTAGCAGTCGCTGAAAATGCATTAGTTGTTCGTGCATGACCTAGGAAACCAGTCAAACTATCTCCACTTTTGTCGGGAGAAGTGTCGGGTGTGAAAGGGAGTCTACGCAAGGCTTGATTGTGCGAAGAGTCATATTTTGGTTGACTAAGAGAAGGTGGGTCAGGGCTGAGTGCATCAAAAATATCAAGACCTTGGTACATCCAGTGGTGGAGTGGAGGGATGTTAGGGCAATCACTAACATCATATATCACCGATCGAGTGCACAGAGAAGGGAGAGTACTTTGATTTGGCTTTATGGGCGTTTTGTATATAGGAGAGGAAATGTGGTGGTAAACAGTGGTGTGTTAGGAACTTGAGAGGTGGTGTGGATGGGAGAGGAAATGTGGAGGGGAGAGGTTATGTGGATGGGTGAAGAGATGTGAATGGGTGAGGTTGTGTGGATGTGGACGGGTGATGTGTGTACGGAAGAAGTGTGTACGGGTGAGGTGTGGCTAAGTGAGGAGTGTACTAGTAAATCGTGAGATGGTTGGTTGTCTACGTGATGTGGTGGAGGTAGCAATGGACCTTGTACAAGTGGTGCTTTGGGGGGTGAAGTTGAGGAGGTTGAGCCATATTGTTGTGCACCATATTGGCTGACGATATGGTAGTTGCTTAAAGAGTTATCTTCATCCATAGGCACCGAGACCTAGACGAAGTTATGGAACGTTATAGTAAGTGGTTTTCATTAAAAAAAAAAGCAGGATAGGGCAAAAGTAAAACTTACATTTTGGTCAGATAAATCCTGAGGAGTTTGGGTTGGAGGTTCGGTCTGGCATCACTTGTCTAAAGTTTGATGTAGAGCTTCAGTCTGACAGCCTGTACGTGATTGGTGTGTTTTTTTTTCGGGCAAGTAGAGAGTGGAAGGTATTGTGTTTCATTGCAGTCGTAAATTTCCTGCGTTTGATCAATAACTGCAACTGCTTTTACTCTCTCTCTCAAGGTTCGAGAGCTTGGATGACATTTCAGACAGTAGTTTCAGTACTTCATCATTTAAGTTGCCGGCAAGACCAATTGGAGGAAAATAGTTACTGATTCTTCTCTGCTTACAGGTAGATGAAACATTCCTTGAAGACTTCCTTAGTTTCAGAGCTTTAGTCGAAGACTTTCTAGGTTTCTGAGCTTTGCTTGAAGATGCTTGAACATTCCTTGAAGACTTCCTTAGTTTCAGAGCTTTAGTCAAAAACGATGTGATATCAAAGTCATGGTAACGATGTGATATCAAAGCAGAGAGTGTGGTATGAAGAACACCATAGGAAAGAAGTGAAACCAGAATGGAAAAAAGCTTTAGATAAACCAAAGCATGCATAGAGAGAGTCAATCGAAACCAAAACTCCAGACTCCATCGAAACAAAAACCCAGAAACCAGAGATGAGAAGTACAAAACCAAATCGAAAAAAGCTTCAGACAAACAAAACATGCATGCAGTGATTAAATCGATACAAAACTCCAGATCTCGAAACAAAAAACCCAGATACAAGAAAATTGAAGAACACCATAGGAAAAGAAGTGAAACCCGAATCGAAAAAAAGCTGTAGATAAACCAAAACATGCATAGAGCGAGTCAATCAAAACCAAAACTCCAGACTCCATCGAAACAAAAACCCAGAGACAAGAAATGAGAAGTACAAAACTGAATCGAAAACAAGCTTCAGATAAACAAAACATGCATGCAGCGATTAAATCGAAACCAAAACTCCAGATTCAGTATGTTCGGCCAATGGAAAAGTAAAGACCAAAACCTCATCATCTCTTTAACACATTAACATTAGTCCACATTCTCTAGATATCACCTATATGTAGCCCACCACGAAAATAATAAAAACCTACATCATTTTATTTATTCACCCCCCCCCCGCCCATAGGGCGGGTTTGCCCTAGTATTATATAAAAGAAATGTAATATGTCATGAAGAATGTGATTAATTATTTGTACTTATTAAATATATTATAGTCGAACATGTGATGTCATAGTTATTATTTCACACATTCAGATATATGGTGTAACCGTAGATTTTAGTTACTAAAGATACGAGTTTTTTTTTGTTTTTGTCATCAAACGAAAAGACCACAGACTCTATGAAGACTCTGTAATCCAGGCCGATGGGTCTACATCCATATGAACAACGAAAGACGATTGCATCCTAGCACTACGTGCTAGACTGTCCGCTTTGGTATTCAGCGTTCTTGAGACATGGATGATATCTGAATGAGTGAAACTCTCTCGAAGAAGCTTGATGTCTTCCAAATAGTTCGCGAAGGCTGGCCATTTCTCTGGTGTAGAAACCATCTTTACCAACTGAATACAATCCGTCGCAAATGTAACATGGTATTGGCGCAAATTCTTCATACTTTCCATAGCCCATATGAGAGCTTCCGTTTCCGAATGTAGCAGCGAAATACTGGCTCTCGTATTTCTTGCTCCCATCAATCCCTGAAAACCTTGTAGAGTACTATACCACCCCTGTCTAAAATATACATCCTTTTCTTTCCATGGTCCATCAATAAAACACCAGCGCCCCGAAATGGAGGGAAAAGTAGCCTCCCCATTTGGGGGATTTTCGATGTTTGTGATGGTGCCTAGGATTTGAGCTTCAGACCAAAGTGCACATTCCGTTTCAGCTAATTCCAGAGTGTCCCGAGAGTCCACATCTATATTACTGAAGACTTTTTTATTCCGTCCCTTTCCATCAAATTGATGATCTTCCATCTTTGGGTACACTCTCCAATATAAATAATCTATATTGGTGAAGAGCGCCTGGGAGGGAAAGACATCTGGATTTGAAGGGATCTTGGATAGTGTAGATCCTAAAATCCACACTCAGTATTTTGTAGAGATCGAGAGTTCAATCAGGGGAAGACAAAGGATGTGGGAAACAATGCTCTTAAACACAAAGATATAATCGGACTTCGGTTGACAAAAATGGACTTTTATTGAATGTAGAATTAGTTTACAAAGTGATGAACATGATTGGAAATAACAATAAGGATTACAAGAAAGCGAACTAGAAATCTAAGGAATGAGGTCGATGTGATTAATGAATAGCTCTAGGTTTTTTCTCGTGTGCTTTAATGTCCTTCGTAGCTCTCTTTTTATAGCCCTTCACCATGTAGCTGCTTCCGCGATCTTCGGAACCTCGTTCCGACCTCGTGGAGTCCGCTGGTCACGATGTGATGATAAAACTTGGGCTTGGGCCTTGTTTTGGACATCGGGTTCAACTCCCTTATTCGTTGTACTTCCTTGAACTTGCGTGTTCACTTCTTTGACGAGCTTAGAATTAATGGACCCAATTTTGAGTCCATTATTTGCCTCCCAGCCTTTTTAGTTTAGAGAAACTGAATATAACCGTTTGTCAGCGCCAATCTCGTAGAAAGCGGCGTCACGTGTATCGTCCTTGTCGGCCACTTTCCTCCATCGTGCGGTTGAGGTTGTTCGTCTACGTCATACGCTTTGGGAACCGTTTTTAGATCCTCATTAAATAGGTCATCTTCTTCATTGAGAGCATCCACTCTCTTGCGATTTATTCGATTTTATTTTTCTTCTCTTGCTTCTCAGTTTTTAATTTGCGATATCTCGATGGAAAAGTTTCGGTTTCCTCCTCATCTCCCAACTATCATCAAAGGAAAACATCTCGATAGCATTCATAAGCTGTGGGGGATCCCCTACGAGGTGAAAATCGACATCGCGATGGGCGACGAAAATCCCGAGAGCATTCACGATGGGTATTGTGGCGCTTATGTGATGCATTTTAAAGACTGCGGTTTGTCGTTTCCGCTTCCTCCATTCCTCCTCGAAGCTCTTTCTGAGATGAGGATGGCTTATAATCGTGTGTTTTCCAACTTTCTTCGCTACTTCCTGGGTTTATTGGTTCGAGCTCAGGAGGAAGGTCTCAAGTTTGGTTTAGAGGAATTAAAACAACTTTGCACGGTTAAGAATAATGCTCGTTTTCCCGGTACCTACCTTCTTTCTCCTCGCGTTGGCCGCGCTGTCATCGAGGGTATCCCTGGTCGAGGTGACAGATGGAGGGAGAAATTCTTCGTTTTCAAGATAGACCCCGCTTGGTTGGAGACTTCGACTTCAATCGACTCCCCCGTGATTGGTCAAGAGATATAGGTTTTTTTTTCTTTACACCGAGGGTTAATTCTTGCGTTCATATTATCTTCTTCTTATGCCTTCGTTTTGGAGGCTCCCCGATGACACCCGAGCTTCGGGGCTTGGTAGAGACTCTTCGCCGGGGTGAAACTCGCTGGTCTTCCTTCACCATGCAATGCATTAAGGCCGCTCTTGCCCTTCCTATGGGACAATGTCGAGCTGAACCCGTACGTTTAGCGATCCCAACTCGTCCACGAGGTGGTCGTCTTAGTGAGTTATTTCTCTCTTCGAATCTTTTAAGTGCTGAAAATTGCTCTCTTTTCCTAATCGTGTGCGTTCTTTTTGTTTTGTTTCGTTTACCTGTAAGGGTAAGGAGGATGAGTCCTTCTCCTGGTCGCCCCGATGTGGCTCCCGAGGTCGAGACATCAGAAAGGGATCGGAAATCTCCTCGTGGTCATGTTCTTCGCTCGAGGTCGAATGCTCGATCTCCCGGGATCCTGGTTCGACCGTTGGCTATTTCTCTTCCAGCAGCTGAGAATCAAACGATTCTGACTGAGTCAGCGGAGTCCGTGGGTAATCGTCCTGATGAGACTGGCGCAGCGTCAATATCTTGAAAAGATAGTCTCTGAGAGTCCAGACTCGTCTTCTTCTGAGAGTTCTTCGGATGGAAGAGCTTCTGGATATGGCCAGTCGAGGTTGGTTCTGAATGACCTGCGTCTGTTCCTCCAGCACCTCAAGCTGACGCAGGAGAAAACTTTCCTGAAGATCATGAACATCTCGCGCAGATATGTCATGGAATCCGATCGGGAGGTTGCGATCTTTCTCCGCTAGCTGATATGTGAACTCGAGAAGAGTATGTTCGCATGGCGGTCGCGAATGCCAAGGTGAGCGATCCATTTAGTTTCATGTTCATTCTTTTCGTTTCTAAGAATTCACCTATCGACAGACCATTGAGTCATGCACACTGCGATGGTGGAGAAGCGTTTTGCCGATCTTCCTGGTAAGGAAGACGTCGAAGGATATCAGAACGTGATTCAACAGCTGAGAGCTGCTGTGTCGAAGGCGGAGGAGCTAGATTCGAGGCGCGTCGAGGAAATTCAAGGGTTGAATGGCAGGTCGATCGAGCTCGAGAGGGAGAAGTCTGTTCTTGAGAACATGGTGTTGGAGGCTGAGCAGGCGAAGAACGCGCTTCAGGAAGAGGTCCGATCGATGGAGGAGAAACTTAAGAGGGAGTTCTTAAGTCGAGAGGCGGCGATAAGGATGGAATCTCGTCGTGCTCGTCGATCCCTTGTTGGAGAGTATAAGAAGGTGCTGGAAGTGATTAAAGGAAAGTTGAGGGATTTGAAGGTGGAGAAGGAAGACGAGATTCGAATAGAAAGCGTGAGGGCGCGTATTGGCGTGTTAGCGGAGTATTTGGAAGGCGGTTTCGAGATCGATGCCGAATTAGTGCATCTGAAGGATAAGGATCTCGATTACACTATTGATCATGGTAAGGCCGAGGTGTATGATCCTTCTTTTGAATTTCTCGAGCTCCCAGAGGTGTCGCCGGACTCAGTTAATCAAGCCGATTGACTGTTTGTTTTCTTTTGTTTTGTTACTTTTTGTTTTTTGTATTTTCCTTGAAATGTAAGGATATTTTATGGGTTAATGAACTTTTTTAGGGTAAGTACTTATGTATGATGATATTTGATAATCTTATCCCTATGTTGTTTCAAAGAATGGAGATAGAGACTGATCGAGAATCTGTTCACTTCTTCTGTTATTCGTTGTACTTCCTTGAACTTGCTTGTTCACTTCTTTGACGAGCTTAGACTTAATGGGCCCGTTTTGGGTCCAACAGATAGGGCCCAAACTTTAACAACCGGTGTACATTAGAAAAAAACATGGTTAAAAGATTCCTCATTAGCACCACATCTCGCACATATAATTTCCCATGTCAGACCCCTGGACCGTAAGTTTTTCGTTACCGAGATACAACCTGATACCAGTTGCCATAAGAAGTGCTTTAGTTTTGGTGGACAGCAGATTTTCCAAGAGTGTGCTTTCAATGGGATGAGCATAGGCCCATACATGGGAACCATTTTCTCTCTCTCTGGATACACTCTTTCCACCTGATAACCTGACTTAACCATATGTTTTCCATTGGTGGTGAAATGCCATCCATCCTGATCAATAAGCATGCGACGACTTAAAGGTATACCTTCGATAAGGTTTGCA